CCTTTAACAGATGATGTGTCAGAATCTCAAAGAATTGCCTTGGGATGCCTTCATTGGCAGAATATAAAACCCTGACTGCATTTCCTTTAAAAATAAGGAAAACTTAACGTCGCCCATAAAAAGAAGGCTGGAAGCATCTCGCTTCCAAGACTGGTTAATGTCACTGCCTGTATTCATCTTCAAAACCTTAGTTCCTTCCCTCTTTTCCTCTGCCATCCCAGGGTGCCAGCCTAGCACTCCTAATAGAGACAGCTGTCTCAGTTCCAGGTACCTAGCCTAGACATGACAATATCCAATAATAAGAAATAAAATAGTTTCTTCTTTGCTTTCTTTTTAACAAAACGAAAATCAGATTTTAATAGTTTTACCATCTCTGCATATTTCACTGTGCTCAGGGAGCACACATACCACGGCTCCCACACAGAGAAGGTGGGATTTTCTTTCTCTGCACAGGAAGAAAAATATTCTCTGCTTGCATAGTTATTTTCACCAATGTCCCCTCACCTTTCAGCAAGTATTGTAAATGTCCCTGGGTCTCAGACACATGGAGACTTGTGGTATGAAGAGGTAAGGAGACTTGCCACCTGTCCTTTTTATCACCAGCCACCACATGACTTCCCTCTCAATTGTAAAATGAAGAGAGTATTGCATTCTACTTTTTTTATTTTTATTTTTTATCTTTTTTTCCAGAGGGAGTCTCACTCCACCTCCCCAGGCTGGAGTGCAGTAATGCATTCTCAGCTCACTGCAGCCTCTGCCTCCTGGGTTCAAGCGGTTCTCCTGTCTCAGCCTCCTGAGTAGCTGGGATTATAGGCATGTGCCACCACACCACCCTAATTTATCTGTGTTTTTTATAGAGATGGGGTTTTACCATGTTGATCAGGGTGGTATTCAATTCCTGACCTCAAGTGATCCACCCACCTCGGCCTCTCGAAGTGCTGGGATTACAGGTGTGAGCCGCCACGCCCAGCCAGGTGTTACATTCAATGACTTCATATTTCTACACTTAAACCTATCCTAGGATCTCAAAAAGCGAAGTCCGGATCATGGAAAGTGAAATAATGAATGCAATGCACCAAGCCCAGTATTAGAAGCGGACCGAATCTTACTTCCTTTCCTTTCCTTTCCTTTCCCCTCCCTAACCTTCCCCAGTTCTGTGAAATAGCTGCATTTTCATTTTTTTAAAAAAAGCACTAGAGTATAATAAAACATAAGATAAACGTTTCCTGAAAGTGTAGCCCATTATTAAGGAGAAAACGGTGCTTGTGGAAGCGGCGGAGGAAACCTCTGGTCACCACTGACACAGTGCTTTCCTGCCTTTGCTTCTCTGCTGGTCATGATTTTTAAAAAGGAAGCTCCAGAGCATTGAGTTGCTTCCTTTGCTGCTAATGATAGAAATAACAGCTTCAATTTGATGTGACAGGATTGCAGAGTGCCACCGGGCAAGTGTGCCATTCTTGTCACTTCCAGACTCCTGAAAAACTTCATGACAATTTGCTTTGTCAGCAGATTCTACCTTGTGCCACGTTTCTGGGTGGCCTGCCTGTGCATCCATCGTCAACTCCCTGGCAGGCATCTTCCTGGGCAGCAGCAAGGGAGAGAACGCTGACACCCAACGTAAAAAGTCACGTTTGGAGACAAGGCTTCTGGGATTGAGGCAGTGTGGTAGTGTGGAAACAAGAAGGCTTTGATACCCAGCGACCTTGGGCTTAAGAAACAGCTGCCATTGCGAAGTACCCACTGCAGATGACCTTAAATATCCTCAATTGCCATAAGTAATGTTACAATCATCACACAGGAGTGAAGGCTCAGGGATGTTCCATGTGTGCCCACAGCCACTCTGCTAACCCAGGATTTGATTCAGAGCTGCCCCACAGTAAAGCCAAGCCTCCATTGCTCTCCACATTTAATCCTAGCAGGAGACCTTGAGGGAAAAGATGAGGGTACCAAGAGCTTTGTACTCATCAGCCAAGAGTTAATTTGGAGACCACAGGAATGCAGGAGCCATCTCAGGGAGAAGGTCCAGAGAGAAAAGCAGAAGCCCAAAGCCTAAAGGTGGGGATTTATTGGTCACAGAAGAAAGGATCTGGAGAATACAGATGAACTAGAAGAGAGGTGAGAAAGGCTAGGAGAGAGTTATGGCCCACCCTTGTTTTGATATTTCAAATGAGGAGGGGGGATGATGGAATGACTTGTCCGCTATAGTCAAGTAGTTTCACCTAAGTGCTAATTTCATGAACTTGCAAACCGATAGGCCTCTAGGCCCCAGGTAGGTGACCATCACCAAAGGATATAGTTGGCAAAAAATAATACAGAGGGGTGGGGACTGCAGAGAACCTATATCTGTCCAAAAGTGGCATCCAGCACTCAAGTCCAGCTGACTGCAGCGAAATCTCACAATTGTTTCAGAGGGAACTGGAACTCTCAGTTTTTCTTTTTTTTATTTTCTTTCTTTCCTTTTTTTTTTAGATAGAGTTTTGCTTTTGTCATTCAGTCTGGAGTGCAATGGCACACTCTCAGCTCACTGCAACCTCTACCTCCTGAGTTCAAGTGATTCTCCTGCCTCAGCCTCCTGAGTAGCTGCGATTACAGGTGCCCAACACCACGCCTGGCTAATTTTTTGTATTTTTAGTAGAGACAGGGTTTCGCCATGTTGGACAGGCTGGTTTCGAACTCCTGACCCCAGGTGATCCACTCGCCTTGGCCTCCCAAAGTGCTGAGATTACAGGCATGAGCCGCGGTGCCTGGCCTCTCAGTTTTTCATGTTCTGTCAACAAGACAGTTTAATAGCTTGGAAGAAGCCTACAGGCCACACGTTTGCTGATTCTGCCTTACCTGAAACCTTTGTATCCTCAGGAAATATTAACACAAGCCTCAAGATTTCACAGGTACTCAGGAGTCCCAAGCCTAAGGCTAAATACTAGTTTTCCACATATGCCTTTTAAATTAGAGGAAAGTATGCATGTGCTATTTCTGTATCATGATCTGATTTGACAAAGCAGAACTTTGTGGTGGAAGTAATTAGTGTTAAATCATGACTCTACCAGAAGAAAATGGCACTAATGAGGGTGGATGTTAGGATGAAGGTCAAAGGCAACACTGCAATTGCAGATTGGTGCCAAAGGCTGGAAATAGGGCATTCTGAACAACTTTGTGAACGAGGAGTTTTCTAGAAAGGATAAAATATGATTAACAATCAGTATCAAGTACAATGGGACTTTCATTTTTTTCTCTCACCTTTCTCTCTTAATAGGTTGAATTGTTATTGAGAATAACAACTCAATGCTTTTTGAACTAGTCAAAATGTTGAAAAAAACAAAATCAAAACCACAACCTCATCTAAAGATAGTCATCACTTAGTAAGCCACAGGGGCATAATTAAAACCCTAAGCAAAATTGGAATAGAAGAGACATACCACAATGTAATATGAGCCATCTATGACAAGCCCACAGCCAACCTAATACTAAATAGCAAAACGTTGAAAGCATTCCCTCTGAGAACTGGATCAAGACAAGAATGCCTACTCTCACCATTTCTATTCAACTTAGTACTAGGAGTCCTAGCCAGAGCAACCAGACAAGAGAAAGAAATAAAGGGCATCCAAATCAGTAAAGGGGAAATCAAACTGTCACTGTTTGCTGATGATATAACTGTATACCTAGAAAAACTGAGGCCAAGTGTGGTGGCTCATGCCTGTAATCCCAGCACTTTGGGAGGCCTAGGCAGGCAGATCACAAGGTCAGGAGTTCGAGACCAGCCTGGCCAACATGGTGAAACCCCGTCTCTACTAAAAATACAAAAATTAACTGGGTATTGTGATGCATGCCTGTAATCCCAGCTACTCGGGAGGCTGAGGCAGGAGAATCGCTTGAATTAGGGAGTCAGAGGTTGCAGTGAGCTGAGATCACCACTGCACTCCAGCTTGGTGACAGAGTGAGACTGTATCTCAAGGAAAAGACAAAAACAAAAACAAAAAAACCCTAAAGACACCTCCAAAAAGCTCCCAGAACTGATAAATGAATTCAGTAAAGTTTCAGGATACAAAGTTAATGTACATTAATCAGCAGCTCTGCTATATACCAACAGAGACCAAGCTGAGAATCAAATAAAAAACTCAACCCCTTTTACAATAGCTATAATAAATAAATAAATTAAATACTTAGGAATATACATAGTCAAGGAGGTGAAAGAACTCTGCAAGGAAAGCAACAAAACACTCCTGAAAGAAATCATAGGCAACACAAACAAGTGAAAACACATCCTATGCTCACGGATGGGTAGAACCAATACTGTGAAAATGACCATACTGCCAAAAGCAATCTAAAAATAATGCAATCACCATCAAGATATCACCATCATTATTCACAGAACTAGAAAAAAGCAATCCTAAGATTCATATGAAACAAANAAAAAAAAAAAAAAAAAACCTCTGCATAACCAAAGCAAGACTAACCAAAAAGAACAAATCTGGAGATACCACATTAGCTGAATTGAAAGTGTACTATAAGATCATAGTCACAAAAACAGCATGGTCCTGGTATAAAAATAGGCACATAGACCAATGGAACAGAAAAGAATACCTAGAAATAAACTCTAATACTTATAGCCAACTGATCTTTGACAAAGGAAACAAAAGTATAATGTGGGGAAAGGACACCCTATTCAACAAATGGTGCCATGATAACTGGCTAGCCACATAAAGGAGAATGAAACTGGACCCTCATCTCTCACTTTATACAAAAGTCAACTCCAGATAGTACCAGGGCTTAAATCTAAGACCTGAAACTAAAATTTCTAGAAGGTAACGTCGAAAAAACCCTTCTAGACATTGGCTTAGGCAAAGACTTCATGACCAAGAACACAAAAGCAAATACAACACAAACAAAGATAAATAGGTGAGACCTAATTAAACTAAAGAGCTTTTGCACAGCAAAAGGAACAGCCAGGAGAGTACCCACAGAATGGGAGAAAACCTTCACAATCTGTACATTCAACAATCTATACACTCAACAAAGGACTGATATCTAGAATGTACAAGGAACTCAAACAAATTAGCAAGAAAAAAACAAACAATCCCATCAAAAATGGGCTTTTGGACATGAATAGACAATTTTCAAAAGAATATATGTAAATGGCCAAGAAACATGAAAAAATGATCAACATCACTAATGATCAGGAAAATGCAAATCAAAACCACCATGTAATACCACCTCACTCCTGCAAGAATGGCCATTTAAAAAAGAGTATATGTTGGTGTAGATGTGCTGAAAAGGGAATGCTTCTACACTGCTGATGGGAAGGTAAACTAGTACAACCACTGTGAAAAATAGTGTGGAGATTTTTTAAAGAACTAAAAGTAGAACTACCATTTGACACAGCAATCCCACTACTGGGTATCTACCCAGAGGAAAAGAAGATATTATACAAAAAGGATTCTTACACATGAATGTTTATAATAGCACAATTTGTAATTGCAAAAATATGAAAACAGACCAAATGCCCATCAATAAAGGAAATATGATATATATGTATATATATTTAGTTCTTTAAAAAATCTCCACACTATTTTTCATAGTGGTTGTACTAGTTTATCTTCCCATCAGCAGTGTAGAAGTTTATATATATATATATATATATATATATATATATATATATATATATATATATATATATATATACACACACACACACAATGGAATTCTACTGGGCCATAAAAAGGAATAAATTAATGACATTCACAGCAACTTGGATAGAATTGGAGACTATCATTCTAAGTGAAGGAACTTAGGAATGAAAACCCAACCATTGTATGTTCTCACTCGTAAGTGGGAGCTAAGCTATGAGGATGCAAGGCATAACAATTCTACAACGGGCTTTGGGGACTTGGGGGAAAAGAGTCTGAGGGGTGAGGAATAAAAGACTACAAATTGGGTTCAGTGTATACTGCTCTGGTGATCGGTGTACCAAAATCCCACAAATCACCACTAAAGAACTTACTTATATAATCAAATACCACCTGTTCCCCAAAACCTTATAGGAATAGAAAAAAATTAAAAATAAAAAAATTAGAGACAAAAAAGACAGTACAAATACAATTTTAATAATAATAATAAGCCATGGGAGAAGTGACTCTCTTGAGGTTATCTGAGGGAACTTTCATTGGTATCTAGCATGTTTACAGGATACCATTGACCCCCATCAGTAAACAGATGCAAGCAAAACCTATTAAAAGTGAATCTCCTCCCTGAATGCATGCAGGAGTTTCTGTGTGCTTATAGCACATTTCTCAGTCATACTTACACTATCTGTTTAGGGGGAAGGAAGATCCACTCACTGCATGGCATTAGTTGCATCATTGGTTTGCAAGGACAGCTCCACCCCCTCATTTAAGTGGATCATCTGTGCCAAGTTTTTCCTGGTTACAGTTTCTGCCCACCTGCCCCCCCAGGTAGCATCCCTTGGCCATCGGAGCTCCATGGTCTGGGTCTTCTAATTCCATACCCTTGGATTTGATGTCACATTGCCCATGTTGCCAGCCTGACCCTCAATCTTTTTACCTATACCTCAGTTCTGAAACCTTGTGCCTAGAGTCTGCCTTGTACCTTCCAGCACTCCATCTCTCTTTTCTGGAACCCTGCCTTACTTTTGGCAGTAGCACCCTTGCCTTACCCACCTATCCCCACACTGGCATGCATCCTATGGTCAAGACTGATGACAGCCTTCCCTGATATTAAGACTTTCCAGAACTGTCTGCCTGCCGGGAAGCCTGCCTACCTTCTGGCACTTCCTCTCTCCCGAGCTACAGTACTCACTGCATAAGCTGCAACACTCATTGCCAGTTGCCCATTGGCTTGACTTGGCCTTTGGAGCGTGTTTACAACACAATTTAAAAAGCAGCGTGTCAGTACTCAGGAAAGGAGACAGATTGTTCCAGTTCTACCAGCAAGCTCCTCAGAAAATGAGCCTAAGAAAGGCTGAACACATCAGGAAAAAAGACTCCTTTGGCCGGAAGAAAAGAATAAAAAAGAGATGGGGAAAAAAAGAGATGGGCAACAGGAGATTCTCTTATCTGGGCTCCTTGATCCTGGTTGTTCTTTGGAACAGAGGCCAGGCTTCCTTCAGCTGGGGCTTATCGAGCACCAGGCAAGGTAACAGGAGCCAAGAGCAGAGATGACTGACACACAGTCCCTGCCTCCAGAGATGGCAGTGGGACGAGGAAGATAAACTTAGAGATGGCACTGAGTGGATCACTGTGTTGAGAGGTTCCACAGGAGGCAGTTTCTGGGGGTGGGAAGGAAAGATGAAGGAGGTACTCTTGAATTTGGAAGTTAGATCACCAGCCTTTAGGGGGCGAGCGAGATGCACTGACCAGCAGTGATGGCGCGTACAAATGACTATCCACACGTAGGAGAGTCTGGACTTGGAATCACAAGGATGAGGCTTGACTTCAGCCCTGTCACTTATTTCCCCTATAACCTTAGGCAGACCTCTCAGCCTGTTAGAGCCTCAGTTCCTTGTGAAGAAACAAGAATTAAGTAAAACCTGGCTGGCAGCTACTTCACAAGGTGGTAGCAAGAGCACTGTGAATGAGAAATCGCTCTGTTAAATGGGAGGTTGCCTGCCTTCACTGTCATTCCTGAACGGTGCCCCAGCACACACCAGGGTGACTGAATCATTCTGCTTTGTCACTGGTTTCAGTAGTAACAGTCTCAGACCCCAGGAACCTCCTTAGTCCCAGACAAATGCAGACAATTGGTTAGCCTGGCACATGTTCTGACCAGAGGAGCTGTGAGGTCCCTGCTGGCCAAGACATTGCTTCAACATTTTCTAAGGTGTAAAATGCAGTGTGTTTTAGAATATTCACAAGGTTGTGTAACCAACACAAGTATCTGGTCCCATACATTCTTACCACTCCAAAAAGGACTTATTAGCAGTCAATCCCAACTCTCCTTTTGCCACCCAGTGGCAACCACTGATCCAATTTCTCTCTATGGATTTACTTACGCTGAATTCTTACTCTAGTTTGAAAAGAAATTGGCATCTGAAAGCATTGAATTCTGCCTCGTCTTTATCTCTGAGTTTGCCGATAAGTGAGGGTATTTTTTTATGAACACCTTTCCCAAGCATCACCAGCCTCAATCCATCTCCTCACCTCCCTCAGGAATGGGTATGGCCACAGATGTGCCAATGTACTTCTTCCCGCACGCCCTGGTGTGAGGATGCCAACAAGCCATTCTACACTGTAGCCAGCCAGGTCCAATTCATTTATAAAGATACTTTGTTTCTTTGTGTTCCATTCACAACAATGGACACGAATCAATTGTTAATAGGGAGAGTTTAATATTATTGCATAAGAAATATGGCGGTGCCACTCAGCAGGGAAGCAATTTTCTGATTATGATGGAGAAGTTGGGAGATGAGATAATACTGTAAACCATGCCTCTCTGATCGCCACTGTGAACAATACTGATCTTTCCAAAGGAGCTGAAGAACGTGGTAGCTGGAGGGAGTACAGATGCCAAGCACTCAGGCCAGAGGAAGTGAGAGGTTTCTGTGTCAGAAGCCAACTTTGTGAATGACTAAAGCATTCAGCCAGCATTCTCAAAAGTAAATTGGAGGAAAGCAAAATGGAGTGAACCAAAGCTTTTTTCCTCCACAGAGGAGGCCAAACAGACTAGAGTGGCCACAGACCTGTGCTGGAGTAGCTTTCACATTTTTTCTAAACAAGACCTATCTTTCATTTGCGGAAGGGTTTAGGGATGAAAGAGGAAGTGGAGAGAAGGCTGGAGTGTTGAGTAATTCCTCAGCAGAAAGAAGAGTTTGTCTTTACCAGAAGAAACCCAAGCCAGAGGTTTAGAGAGCTGTGAATAAACATCACTCGACTTCAGAGATGCAGGACAGGCACAGAGACACCAGAGGCTCAGTGGGAAGAACGGTGATCGACAGTGCCAGGAGCTTAAACCACTCATGTAGTGTGGAGCATATCTCTCTGAAAGTCAATGCCAAGCCAGCAGACAGGACCAGGTAGGCAAGCTAAAGGCAGGACATACTAGAAGGAAAAAGATCAAGGCTGTTAAACTTTTTCCCCCACAACTGCACGTGGGTCTCCACTGGCGGATTTAGGGAGCCCAGAGCTGCCCCTCAGCTGCTGGAGCTGCAGCTGCTGCTCTTAATCCCACCCTGTTCTTGTGACAGGCAACAAACAACTGCAAGATGAGGGAGGTACCCTTGAATTCAGAAGTTAGATGGCCAGCCTTTAGTGGGTGAGTGAGGTGCACCGGCTGGCACTGATGGTGTGTACAAATGACTATGGACATGTAGGAACGAGTCTGGACTTGGAATCACAAGGGTGAGGCTCGATTTCTAGCCCTGTCACTTATTTCCCCTATAACCTTAGGCAGATCTCTCAACCTGTTAAAGCCTCAGTTCCTTGTGAAGAAACAAGAATCAAGTAAACCTGCCTGACAGCTACTTCAGCTACAAGGCTCCCTCGGTGCACCCATCAATTGTAAATGAGACCATGATGCAGGTAAGTTGAATATAAACTGACAGTAGGCCCACTATCAATGTGTACGTTTAGTATGATCCTTAACATATTGATAACATATCGTAACAGTGTCATATGACAGCAGTCACCAATCTCACGGCTCTCAGTCCCAGGATGGAGAACCTAGTTAAAGATGGGACATTCACTTTGCTTCTACTTGTCTTCATATGGCCTGTCTTCTGTAGCATCTCTCTAAGCCAGAATTTAATTTTGGCAGGGTCAATTCATCATTTAATGCCCCTCATGTACCTTATTGATGAAGAGACTGTAGGGCTAGGGCATAAGATCTTTTGTGGGCTTGTGAAAATGAACATGTTAGATTTTTAGAGTTTATGGGCTTCAGGCTACATAAATGCATTGTCAGTTCAATGCTGACTCGACCAACAACAGCAAACTGGACACACCAGATCCTGGAAGGAAGAACTGGTAGTTGGATAGAGGACAGAGAAACCAGATGTAAAAGACTTGTGGAAACTAAAGAGGTAGGACGGGGCCCGCCATGCAAGAGCACTGCTGTGTAATGCTGGTGATAGGAAAACCGT